TCAAAAAAGGCGCAGTAGATGACTGCATCACTCCTCAGCACGGGACCGCTTCTTTAACCGCTCCCTACTCGTGGATGCTGCCATGGCCCGCTCCGCGTAGAGACGACGCCGCCGCAAGAACGCCGAAGCCTTGCGCCAGACGGCCTCAAGGTCGCTGCGGTGCTGCTCGAATCCGGCCTTTGCGAGGCGCAATCCATCATCCGTTTCGCCACGCCAGAATGCCCGCGTGCCTTGCGTCATTGTCTGCAGCACGTCATTCCACGCCGTCCGTGCTGCCGCGTCGTGGGTGGCACGAACGCCAGTGAGGAGCACGTACACCGGCGACTTGGTCAGGTGCATCGTCTCCATGATGTGCACGCCGCCGCGGACGAGCGGCCGCAGGAGCATGAGCAGGATCGGAAGGCTGGCGCACTGCGGGACGCCCAAAACGAGCATAACGGCGCCGCCGTCCTCAACATGCTCCGCGGCGAGGCGCAGCTGCGGCACGAGGAAGTTGAACCACGGCAGCACGCACGATGCGCCCGCGGCGGAGTCCGTGTCGTGCGGCGCCTCACCCTCCCGCTGCCCGTGGTCCTGCACTGCGCCGCCGTTGATGAAGAAGAAGCGNCGTCCCGCGACGGCGGCATGCCAGTCATCCTCGGTGATGCTCCCCTCGACGAACTCGTAGCGCGCGGATGCCGGCGGGGACGACAGCCACGACACATCCAACGCGATGCCGCCGCGGTTGACGGGGAGACTGACGCCAACGCCATGCCACTGCAGCTTCGTGACGAGGTACTTCGACACCCCACCAGGGGCGCAGCCGAGGTCGAGAAACGTCGGTGGCGCGCTCGGCCCACCATTCTCGTGCTGCTGCTTTCGCGCCCGCGGGGCGACGCTAAAGAAGTCTGGAGCGGCGTTCGTCAAGATGTCCCCGGCGTGGACGCAGTACCGCTCGCACAGCTTCTCAATATCACTGTCCGCGAATGACGTGGCGCCTCCGCCGGCTGCACCGACTGGGACCCCGTCAGTGCCGTTTCGCTCTGGCCGTTTCTCTTGCTGTTGCTGTTGCCGCCTTCGGTACCACCAGTCAAGCGACTCGGATCTCCACCCCTCAGCGCGCTCACGCTCAAGCTCCCGGTACGCCGCGGACTCCGCAAGAAGATACTCGCGCCAGCGATTACACTCGCCGAGTCCGCTCTCCGCGGGTGCTTCAACCCCGTTGTCCTTACTCGCACTGGCAGAATGTGCGTCCATCGGCGACTATCAATGCCCTCTCTTTCTCTCTCTCTCTGTCTCTCTCTTGGGTATGTGGATGCGTTAAGTGCGTGGTCCGCCTTCAGCGCCCTTGTGTAGGGACACTGCGCATAAAACAGCAACGTAAAGAAGCACCGCAATCAGGACAACGCCACCAACGGGGCATTATTCAATGCCTGTTCAATCAGCCCCCACAGGCTTGAAAGCAGGCAAAAACAAAACAAAACAAATGAACAAGCATACGCGCATACATACGCCCGCCTACAATGTGAATGCGGTAGCGACAAAATCCCCTCCTACCGTGCAGCCACGGCCGCTCATGCACAGCTGCCGTGCTTCCCCACACCCACCTGTGATCACAAAACAAGAAAAAGACAACACGACGCTAATTCGCTGCAGGGTTCTTCTTATTCCTCTCTATATTGTAAATGTACAGCTTCTTCAGCACAGTGTCGGTGCACTGGCCAAACGCTACATTCTCCTTGAAACAGTCTGTCGACCACCGCTCCCCCGCCGCCTTTTGGCACTTGACGCCGGCGTCGTACTCCTTCTTGCAGAATATCTGCGCGATGCCCTCCAAGTACGCCCCCTTCTGCTTCTGGCAGACGAAATTGATGTCGTCGTTCACGCGCGACTGCAGGCACTGCTCAAGATCCACCCTCTGCTTCTCATACACCTTGCTGAATTTGTCCGCGAGCTCGTTGAACTCCTTCGTGTTGCGTGACATGTGTCAAGGAAACAAACAAAATATCTCCCTTCCAAACGGAAATCCCCCCTTTTTCCTCGAGGCGCACTGTGTCTTCTTCTGTTTTCTTGTTGACGTGTGCTAAGGCTCGTTTTGCCACTTGTACGCCTTTCTTCTTCCTTCAGTCGCACACAGACAGACCCTCGCCCTCTTTCTTTATATATATATATATATATCCTGTTCTCCCCGTTTGTGTGTCTTATTCTTCTTCCGGGGAGGAGCGTCCTGCACCGTCGCTTCAGCCGCAGCAAGAGAGACACTGTGTGTCTGCGTGTGGCGCGAAGAACGAAAAAGAAAAAAAAAGAAACAAGAAGGGAAATCACAGAATGCCCTGCAGCCAGTAGTGTGTGTGTGTGTGTGTGTGTGTGCAACCCCTTCATTACACAATTGAGGGGAAAAAGAGCCACTCCATCATGCCCGCTTTTTGTGTTTCCATTCTCCTCTTGATAATTGCATTTACTCGCTGGTTCTCGTTTCGCCCTCCAGTGCATGTGCAGGCATTCTTACTCTTTAGACGAAGACGGGGGTAGTGGTGGTGGTGGGGGGGGGGCGCAGACATCAGCGATGCAGCTCGAGGAACAGCCGCACGCCGGAGGTGCCGATCAGGCGCCCCGAGAGCACCGCTCGTGCGTGCAGCGCACTGCCCTCGTCGACGAACGACGCCACGACGTGCCCCACCACATCCCCGTCCACTGGTGCTCCTGCAGAAGAAGCAGCAGCAGCAGCAAACAGTGACGGTGACCTGCTCACTTCAACACCTTCCTTCTCAGCATGGTTACTGTTACTGTCATTATCATCATCTTTAGTGACGTTATGCACGGCGGCTTCGTGAGAAGAGGGCACAGCAGCAGCATCCCCCTCAGGGTCGGAGATTGTGAGGAATCCCTGCACGCCGCTCAGTGCGCGCAGTGCGAGTGCGCGGGGGGCCGGCGGCACGAGCCGCGCATCCACCAAGCACGCCTCCTTCGCGCACTGCGCAACGCGAAGCGGGTAGTACTGCACCTTCCACCGTCTGCCGTACATCTTCGCGTTCTGCAGGCGTTTATACATGGCTGCCGCGACGGCCTTGTTGGGCACCTCAAACGTGAGCGTCGCGTCTCCCGCCTCCTCCATGATGTTTGCCTCGGAGATTTGCTTCTGGTGCTCCGGCAAAAGGTGGCGCACAGCGCGAGTGTAAATGGCGGCCATGCTCGTTGGGAGGTCGGCAACGATAAAGGAGCCGTGGAGAATGTCCGCGTCCGCGGGCTCGCGCTGCCGCTTCTGCCGCTTCAGCGTCGCGGTAACAGCGGCGTTTTCGTTGTTGTTATCGTCGCGTTTAAACGGGGGCTTTACGGCTCCCTTGTCGTTCTTCGTCTTCTTCCCATGTGCTTTGGAGCTGCTTGTACGCGTTTGAGTCGACATGTTGCAGTCACGCTCCGTTTCTCACTCACGTCTTATTCTCCGTATTTATGTCTGACCGTCTGTCGATTCTTGCGGTGTATTTTGTTTCTGTTTCACAC